AGGTATACAGTCACCTGACACGATATAACAAGCACGTGAGTTATGTGACTTATGACTGTAGGAGTCCATGCACAAAAACACATAATAATTAATTAATCAATCGAATCCCAAACGCCTAAGTGCTAAATAGACCTTAAAGCTCTTGGAGTGGGAATAGCTAGTAGTTATTAGTTAACACGGATCACCTCCTACCTGTAGAGGTGTCACATGGTATAAAGTCACTGCAGCGCCTCTGACCTCACTGAGTCCCGACATTGACGGGATTTTCGACACTTGCTAGAGTCAAACTTCGGTCGCTGTTTGGAGACGAACTCTAGCGGTCGGCTGCTCTGATCATTACTTTTCTCTAGTTTCTCCGATCAATATCACGCAAATGCCGGAGCAGTACCTGAACAAATGGGCCACGAATCTTGCGCAATGTTTCCTTCCTTTTCCTTGTTCTATCGTACCTCTTCCTTAAATATACTGACACTTACACTCACTACACTAGTACACGTCGGGAGTGTAGGGCTTGTCACGGCTGGGGGCGGTGCTCAGCTGGTGGGAGATACCTAGTTTGGGAAAACCCGGCTAGCCAACGGTAATCGGCGACAATCTCGCCATCAAGCGGAGCAAGATCACCGCCATTTCCAATCAAAAAACACGCGCTACACGAACGGGGCTAATGACCTTAGTAGTTGACGCCCCACCTCGGAATCACTAGTAATTAATCAGTCAAATCACCCCCTGTCTCTATGGGTCAGCTCGCAGCGTAGGAAGTCCTGCCATGACGACCCCGAGTCGGTGCCGGGACGAAACGAGCGGTGCAATCTACTGCTTACACTGTCTACTACCGCATCATCACCTGGCGGCGCCGGTGGCGGCGCCAACGGCGTAATACGGTGATTACGGACGTCGCCTGCCGCGCGCGTAATAGCCGCTTCCCCCCTTCCTCTCCTCGGCGCCGGCGCGTGCGTCATAGCAGTTAGTGCAGGCGCGCGACGCGGGAGAGACGCTTGCGGGACGCTTCCGCTCGTGAAATTAACAAGTTCCGGGAGGGATCCCCTGGATCTCCCAAACATCAGAGCTCGCCTGTAAAAACTCACTTTACGAAACGAGCTTTATTAAAACAATTGTGTTTGTTAATGTAATTTTTTTCTTCTTCTCGAACTTGGTTTTCTGTGGGCTGAGGAGAACTTCCCCCCATGCACTACGGAAAGATGGCGGATTTGGAGTATTCTTGGGCGAATCAATTGACACAAACTCCCGTAAGCCTGCTTACGCCTAAAGGCTGCACCAAACAAATGGAAGTTTTCCGATGATGTTGTAAGGGAAATCACAGGCGCACGTGCAATCCGCAACACACATTACCATTGTATTTTACTCGCAAAAGGTGCGTCTTTCTCAAACCCTTATAATTAGTTTTTCGTTCCCCTTCCGAAGAATGAGTTGATTTCATTATTAAGCAATCTGAAAGACCAATGCGAGTCTTTTCTACATTCTGTTACATTTTAGGAAAGAGTCCCATGACATGAATTATGAAAAACGTTGGAAATTGTGTTTCGGTATGAATATATTTCCACTATTAAAACAATGATATGAAAAGTGCGGGTCGCAGGCAAAAGAAAGTTCTCATACGTCTAACTAGGTTGCATATTATATAATCTGGTTCTTAGTCCAAAACCTTTTCATCCAGACCTGAGTAGGTTTTGTTTGCTTCATTAAATGATAAACTTAATGGCGATGAAGCTATGGTTGAAGAAGAGTTGTGGGGAAATGCGACAACCCTAGAAATCGGACGCGACCTCCCTTTGTTTTCTATACATTTCGCAAAGATAGACCGGGATTTGAATCCCGGAGCCCAGTGGTGAAAGGTGAGCGGTCTCGCAACTACAAGGATCGCCCCATGATTTGGCTATAGCTGAACCACGTTGGAAACACAAATTCCTTAAAATGCGGCCGCACCGGCTTAGTAAACTCGGGGCATCAGTTGATGGCAGTGCAGTTTCTCTGGCCGAAATGTCCTAGGGTTGGAGTCCTGACCGGCGCAGGATTTTCGACGCTGGTTACATAGCTAGGTCGAATTCAGCCGCTGTCTGGAGGAGGAAATTTCTATCGTTCGGCTTTTCTGGGCGGTCGTTTTCAGCGGTTTATCCGATCAACACAAGGCGAATGCCGGAGTAGTATCCTAACTACTGGATTTGGGACCGCGCGCCATCTTTTCTTCCTTTTCGTTGTCCTATCCTAACCCCTTACTAACTTACACACTTTCTCTCTCTTTCTCTCTCTCTTTCTCTCTCTCTTTCTCTCTCTTTCTCTTTCTCTTTCTCTCTCTTTCTCTCTCTTTCTCTTTCTCTCTTTCTCTTTCTCTTCTCTCTCTTTCTCTCTCTCTTTCTCTTTCTTCTTTCTCTCTCTCTTCTCTTCTTCCTGCTCTCTCTCTTTCTTATCTCTCTCTTTCTTCTTTCTCTCTTTCTTTCTATCTCTCTCTCTTCTCTCTTCTTTCCTCTCTCTTTCTTCTTCTCTCTCTTTTCTTCTTCCTCTCTCTTTCTTTCTTTCTCCTCCTTTTCTTTCTTTCTTTCTCTTTCTTTCTTATCTCTCTTTCTTCTTTCTCTCTTCGTTCCTCTCTTTTTTCTCTTTCTTTCTCTTCTCTCTCTTTCTTTCTTCTCTTTCTTTCTCTCTTTCTTTCTCTTCTTTCTTTCCTCTCTTTCTTCTCTCTTCGTTTCTCTCTTTCTTTCTCTCTTTCTTTCTCTCTTTCTTCCCTCTTCTCTCTCTCTCTCTCTCTCTCTCTCTCTCTCTCTCTCTCTCTCTCTCTCTCTCTCTAGCACTACATTACCACACACGTCGGTAGTCAGTCGGGAGCTTAGCGCTTGTCCCGGCGAGGTGGTGCCCCAGTGGAGGGAGATACCTGGTTGACAAAAACCCGCCGACGCGTAGGGCAGCCAGTCGAATCTTGCCATCCAGCGCAGGAAGATCACCTCCATCTTCCATGATAAAAAAACGTGCACTTCACTTACTGGATTAATAGCCTAAGCAATTGTCGCGCCCAGAATCACGAATCCGCCAATGTGGATACGCTTACAATTTGATTAGTTGTATCCTCACCATGTCGATCGGCGACCGCAAGCCATCTTTACTTACTTCGTTACTTCTCTCCACGCGTTCGGTATAGGTGACAGATAAATGAAGTCGTAGGCTTCCGCGGCCAGAGTCATGTGGGTGATCTGGGCTGTCCGGGTGACGCCGCGTCGAAGGCTGAGTTGCCGACGTTTCGATCATCCTGTCGTGGTCTTCCTCATGGCTGGTATGCGTCGTCGTGGTTACTTATGTTTCCTTCGTAAATTCAGAACTCCAACGTAAGGCATTAAAAAAACCCTTCTAATAATCGCAAGACGTCACCCAGGTGGGTTTCTCATGTGAAGTGGGTTTCCGAGGCGAGTGTCATGGAAATGATCTTGGCCCTTCGGGTGACGCGCGTCCCGTGTAGAGCCTCTGCTTCCTCCATAGTGTTTCATTCTTTCCCCGAGTTCCATCCTTTCTTCTGACCACGCGTTCATAACTATTTTACCTCGCGTGTTTGGTCTTCCTGAATTTCATTGGTTTTACGTAATACTTCTCTGTCATCTTCTATTTTTTGTTGTTCCCAACTACCTTTTTTTCCTAGGCACATTTTGTCATCGTCTTTTATGAGTGGGTATGGTCGTTCATTTAACCGATTTTGATTAAACATCCGCTTTCAGGAATTCCCTTCAACATTATTATTATTATTATTATTATTATTATTATTATTATTATTATTATTATTATAGCAATTATGAGAGGGGAAATGCAAATATATTCGAAAGGCACTATCGATATAATAGTTAATGCAAATTTAAATATTTAGTCTGGCAGGAATCATGCATGGTACTGCATTGTAAACATCTGTGATTCACACCAACAAAAGACGATAGATGCGATTCACAGTAACACGACGTGCGAAATCAGTGTAGAGTAGAGAAAATAACCACAAGACATTCGCATATAAGTCTGCTGAATTCAATCACATACGCTTATTTGCGTGTCTCTTAACGAATAGGCATGATGAAGACCCGCTCATTTTGTGTGAGCATTCTAGTTGAAGATATGCCTCAATAATATTGTTATTCAAACAGAAGAAATTGAAGAGTGTTGTCTTTATCTGCTTTAAGGATTGCGACATGTAACTTATTTAATATTATACCATTCATACATTTTCATTTATTGCAGGGAAAATTTTCAATGCCAAAATATTGTCATTAATTAAATGTTATAAAACGACTTTTATCCAGTCTGAATGATCGCTGCTCCATTGTATGTGGTATCTATGTAAGTACTACTTAGAAGTACGTCACAAAACTGCTTACGTGATCGGGTTCAAGAGGACACGTTGTGAGGAACATGACATCACAGTTTACGCCGTTACGTAACAATGTGCGTGACTTTACTTCAGTGACGCCAGTGCTTTTCTTAAGGGTAACTTGTGTAAGTGTATCGCGGTATTTAAAAACTTTTCCAGTAGAACAGGATACATTTGACAATCAAGATATAAAGGCGAATTAAGGCAGAGGAATTAAATATTCTCCTCGTTGAAATATCAAAAATAATGTGGACCTTGCATGCCAAAGTGATGAGAATATAACCTGAACTTTCAGGAATATGATTGTAAAAAATGAGAATATGAAAGAGTGATTCCGTGAAAATGATTTGCAGGAGCAAAGAAAAAAGCCAAAATAGTGAATCCTGAACGACACACGGGATGGAAACGAGAATTACACACAAATAAAAATACAATGCAATGAACACCATTACAATATTATTTTGTTGGTGTCATGGATGTTTACCTGCCAATATTTAGAGCCACAACCGACACCACGTCGTAGATCAAAGGCCAATTCATTGGCATTGGTATCTCTTTCACCGTACGCCAATACCTCTTACCAGTGACCTTTGATGTTTACTGTAAAGACGTTCTTTTCCATGGACAATTTTCCGCTCTTCATCGCATGTTTTGTGAAAATCCTCTTTTGCAAGATGTTACTGTCAACGGCATTATCACGGACACTGATACCGAAACCGATTTGGCGGCGGCCACCTTCACCCCCAGCCCCGTCATTATAGGCGCCATCGTCGCGGTTGCCGTCATTTGTCTCTTGCCGCCCCCAGCTTTTTCAGCGTCGTTAACCACCGCCGCTGCCACCACGACGCAGCAGGTAGCGCCCTTTCGACCTCTGCTCCCGCGAGGGCGGCGCGTCGGAGGCTGCGCGGGGCGGCGACCTCTCCGCTGACGTCCGCGCAGCGAGCGACACACTCGGCGGCGCCGGGGAGTTTCCACCTTTTTGTGAGCGCGCGGCGCGGCCCGGCCCGGCCCGGCCAGGCCAGGTGCGCGCTCAGCCGTCTCCGCCGCGCACTCGCACTCTCGCACACTCTCACCCTCTCTCTTCTTCAGTCCTTCGGATACTCCCTCCCCCNNNNACCTCTCCCTTCCTTTCTCCCTCTCCTGCTCGCACACTCCTTGCCGCCTCGCTGGCGCGCTCCTTCCATCGCTACTTCACCTCACCCTCCTACCTGCTTCTTCTTTCTGTTGCTCACCCCCCTCTCTCTCTCTCTCTCTCTCTCTCTCTCTTTCGTGTGCACTGGTTTTTTTCCACTCGATGGAGAGTCCGCCCAGGTCGAGTTCCGCTCAAGGACGGGAGTCTAGCCTGGCGCGAGGACGAGAGTGGGTCAGTATGCGGAAGGCAAGATCGCGCCGGTCCGTGTTTTGTTGATTAAGGAAAGACAGAGCGGCGGCCGTTGGAAATTGATTGGAGGAAAACGCGGAGCCAGACGGATCAACCGCGGAACTGCGGATCAAGGGTAGCCGGCCCGTCCACGCAGCGCTGTCGTCCAACTCGTGTTGGACTTTAGAGAGATTACTATGAGAAGGGACCACTTTGGCAGCTACTGCTTGGCCACTGCTGGAAACAGCTGCAGGTTATGTCCATGCGGTCATATTTACGGTGCGTTCGTTTACAGTTAGATTATGTATCTTAGAAGAGGGAATCACTAAAGTGTCGAACGAATTATTGAATTTGGTGTACAATGTAAAAAAATGTTCAAAACCTACTGCTTAATATTGATTACACCAGATATTTCAGTGCCGAAAATCTTTTCGTACATTTTCAATGAAAAAGACATGTATCCAGAGACAGGCGGAGGTAATATGATTCTCATTCTGCGGAACGATATCTCAAAAATATATTTATTCTTAATAATTTATACAGTATGTCAATAATATAATACATATTTATTATATTAAATTATTTGAATACAGTATCCCTTTTATTATTGAATTTGTGGTGAGATGTTGGCATTGTATACATAATTATAAATCTATCTCTCATCTCTCGCATTAGCCAAACTGAATTGTAATTCAAACTGAAGTCGTTACCAATTTTTTTAAATTTAAACGATGGGCAGCTTAGGATAACTTATCCAGCTCTTTCGATTAAACTAACGTTATAGTGGTGGTAAAGTATAAACGTAAATTATCTTCGCCAGTTGAACTCATTATCGAAGGTAATTTTCTTGGTGTTCATTATCACCTTGTTAGCTCTAGAATTATATACTAGCCTCCGGGAGTACAGCCAAATGCCGTAGAACCCGCAGGGTGGCAAATTCAATAGTTGTGGATTGTGCCCAAATCACATTTTCAGTAGGCTCAAAAGACTATTTAAATTGAAGAATGATTTTCTCTTTACACATTTCAAGTTCGGTAGGATAGAAAAATACTTCACATTCGAGACTCAGATTTTTTTAATGTAAAAAGGAGTTTATTTCGAATTTGTTTGACTCTTTCTATACTTAACACAGGATTTAGGAGAGTTGAAACAGTGTACATACTCCATTGCTACAAATAAACAATAGATGTTACAAATTATTGATAAACATACGCTTCGTGTTTTCACTTTTGTCATGAAAACCTTTAGTCTACGTAATGTTGTGTTGAAATTGACAGTATGGTCCTAGAACAACGTAGCCCCTGCGCTTACGTAGTTGAAACTGTTTCCATGGGCTCGGCTTATCTTTCCCAGATGTGAAATCTATTAACACGAATATATTTTTCTCTTCGAAACTTCGTTTATTCATAATCGTGCTTAAAGTATTATATTAGGGTTCACAAGACAAAACGTCTTTTTGTAGAATGGGTCCTTTGTAAATTTGCACCCAGAAGAGTATATTATTTTTACAAGACAAATATTTTTTAAAAAAAGTGGCTTGGGGGCCCTATCTAAATTAAACGATTCCATTTGCCAACCGAACGTGGACATACTTTTCCACTCTGCAGACGACGTACAGCCAGGAGAAATGAGTACGATTCAGGTTCATTGATTCCATTCCGACCGACCGTGAACCTCCCTGTGCTATCGCTCTCTTTTGAAATTGGGCAACCCAGGTGCGAAGGCTGCACACGCCTCCGTGTGGTCGCCTGGCATCGGGTTTTTCGTCTGTGTGCGACGCATGTATGGGATGCGGCGTTGTTGCCGATATCGGCTAGTTTTCAAGATTCGTCTTTCTAATTCAGTTGAACAAGACAATCCAATGCAAATTAGTCTAGTTCGATAACGTAGAGTTTTTCTAGGAATCGCTCGTACTATATGGTAATATATTTGTATTTGCGTACGCGTTGGACGAGGGTACATGCGTTCATATTTCCACTTAACAATAAAAATGCCTTTATTAAAGACAAGGATCAGGCCAAGGTATTCATCCATGCCCGGCCATTTCATATTTGCTTATATTGACAGAATTAGTAATTAGAAAATATAAAATGAAGGACGGTTCATACAATTTTTATCAAGATAACCCTATACGAAGAGACTGTGGTGGACAGACTTTGTTTCCTGGATTGAATATGACAAGGCAATTGCAATTTACACAATTTGCACATTTGTTAGGAATTTCAGAAGAGTCAGGATTGCTTTTTCAAATCCATTGGAAAAATACTGCGACAATAAAACAAGACAACGATGTACTTTGCGAACATTGAATTTAACTGTATACTAATACTTTTGTACACGACAAAACTTTATTGAAGGTGGCATGAGTAGATATGCATTTGAAGATATTTGCACACTCGATATGGATATGCATTGGCAGCATGGAAAAACGGCAGTGCTTGTGTGACGGTATGTGATTTTTTGGAGAAGGCAATCAGTTACGAAGGGGAATGTCCTTTCCGTACTATTGCACTTGTCATTCTAGTAATATATCATAATGATTGAATGCCAGAGATTGAGTGCTTGGCGTGAATTGACGTTAATTTTTCTTTTTAACGGCTGTTACATAAATTTTAATTTGTGAATATTCGGTTAGTTACTTGTATAAGAGCGAGACTTAAACACGTGCACACACATACAAAGGCATACAAAACTTAGCCGATATACGATGTTCTTGGATGTATTAGTTACTCAGAGCGGACAAGTAAATCTTCACGGCTAGTTATATTGTAAAAATAATGATTTTGAAATAACTGATGTAAAACTGTTCATTACGTTAAAAAATAATGTAACATATATTAAAATCCGACAAAATTATATTCAAATATTGTATATCGTTATGTTGTAGAAAATATAGGTCCATAAAATAGATGCTTGTTCGGACGCGAATTAACTGCCGTAATTCGCTGCTGTAAACGCCGTTCTCGAATTCATAGGACGACTGTTGCAATCATTGTTTTCTGAGCACTTCCAGGCGCATGCCGGAGTAGCATTTATACAAAGGCCCATCGTGATCGGATCTTCCTACTCTTTTCCCTCCTTTTTTGTTCCTATTCCTATCTTCAACCTCAGGGGTAATGATCGTAGCAGATGAAGCGCGCTAAATCATAATCAATTACAATAATCAAGTAGGTTTGATCGACTCAGTAGCCCGAGGGCAGCCGCCAGTATGCGGACTTCCAACGTGGCCACGTGCAATATATCGTCACTTCTGCGAGGAGAGATATGTTTAGTTCACACGTCATTGAATTACGTCGTAGATTGAACTATACGGTGTAGTACTTTTTGGACGAGCTTAGTCATGTTCACGAAACTGTTTAGTTAATATATGTACAGTAATCTTCACTAAACATTTATCTCATGACGAATTAGGTTTAGTGGAGATAACTAAACGAATCGTTGCTTTGACTAATGCATTGAGCAATATTTACTAAACACAGTACAATGAAAATTACTAAACGAATAATTGCGTTTCATAAATTACTAAACGTTTCTTAGTAAACCCTATTAAGCACAATCGTGAAAGACTATTTTCTTTCTATCCCTTCAGACAGGTAGTTTAGCAACTGGGGTTCCCGAGCGGCCACCCATCCAAACATCCCGTGGGCTAGTACTTTCTTAACCTCGGTTTCATGACAGACCTTAGCCAAGCAGAAAGGTTACGGACGCTGGCTGCGGACGTTTGGTTACCGACGATATTTCTACCATTAGTTTAAAATACAACATGTAATTATTTAAAATCAATAAAATTCTAAACACTTCATTTTGCAGCTATAGTAATATACAGCGTTGATTTCTCACAGTTCACATGGGTTCTATAACCACTCGAATTCCTCAGATTTCTGAGAACGCGCGCTTACTAAGCAGTGTTTAGTAAGCGCGATGACATGAAAGATATATTTCACCGAATGATGTCATCTACGAAACAAATGAAATACCACTGACAATTCTCTTTGTTAATACACTTACGATTTTCAATTGATTTACTAAACGAAAGTAAATCATGTTTAGTGAACCTTACCACAGGAATAATTGGATTTACTATACGATCGCTTACTAAACATGTTTGCATTCCGGTACGTTTTCCTCTTTGGGGAGGTGAGGTGCATCGAGTGGAGCGCCATCAGTCATGCTGAACTGAATCTATTACTTTATGTCGTCCAGGCAAAGAATCATAAATTGTACTTTAACGTAATGTATATAGTATATTACTAATTGGCGGATAATAGTACAAGTGAAGTGAATACGTTTTCTAGACAGCCTAGACTTTCTTCTACTTTTGTCGATTTCATTTCCACAATTTTCAGTAAATCCCTTTCAGCTTGTTCTCGGGTCGTCCTCGAATTGCAAAGGAATTGATGCTATGGAACGTGGCGGGAGGGGGAGTCGTGACTGGAGGAAGAGGCGCCTGGTGACGCCGCCAAGGGCATTTTCCGGACCGCAAGGCCCTTAGAACCAGCGCGTTCGGATGTTCGCATCTTACGGCGGCTCCACACATGCGGCATTCGGGGAACCCCGAGCAACCGCTCGCCGAATCCCGAGTAATGTGGACGGATTGCTTGCGATTTACCGAGCGCCGACCATTCGATATTCGCCCTACCCACCGCGTGTCGGTCTTAGGGACACACCAAACGGAGCGAACATTTGCCGAAAACATCAGCTGTTCGGGATTGGGCGAGTAGTAGTACTCCCTGCTCGGCGAATGCCGAATGTGTGGAGCCGCCTTTAGGGCAGCTCCACACATTCGGCGTACGGCGAGTAGTGAGCAACCGCTATTTGCCGAGCGCCAAGCATTCGGTGCACGCCCTGCCTTCGGCTTGCTGGTCTTTCGGACAATTCAGAGCAAGCAAACTTCCATCGAGTACCTCGGGAACTCGGAATTGCAGCTCCACACATTCGGAGTACGCTGAGTAGTGAGCGCCAAGCATTCGGAGTACGCCCTGCCTTCGGCTTGCTGGTCTTTCGGACAATTCAGAGGACGCAAACTTCCATCGAGTACCTCGAGTACTCGTAATTGCAGCTCCACACATTCGGCGTACGGCGAGAAGTAAGCGCCAAGCATTCGGAGTACGCCCTGCCTTCGGCTTGCTGGTCTTTCGGACAATTCAGAGCAAGCAAACTTCCATCGAGTACCTCGGGCACTCGGAATTGCAGCGCCACACATTCGGCGTACGCTGAGTAGTGAGCGCCAAGCATTCGGAGCACGCCATGCCTTCGGCTTGCTGGTCTTTCCGACAATTCAGAGGAAGCAAACTTCCACCGAGTATCTCGGGTGCTAGGACTCGGGCGTGTTGCGTATTGCCGCCCGTCTGGAGATGAAGACCGTCTCCCCTTTCCGCAGGTCGCATCGGTGCGCGCACCATCATGACGGCGCTGGTGGTGTGGGCGCTGGTGCTGCAGGGCCTCATCCAGCACAGCCCGTCGGTGGCGCTGCTCACGCTGGCGGAGCCCGCCCTCTCCTCGGAGGAGTTCGCCGAGTACGTGGCCAACACGTCGTACGTCACGCGCTATTGCCGCCCGGGCAACGTCAGCGACGCCGCGGCCGACGACGGGGAGGGCGCCTCCGCCTCCGTCCCCGCCGCAGCCACCGTCGCGACGCCTCCCGACGCCGCGGGCGGGTTGGAGGAGGTGTCGTATGAAGGCAGCGCCACCACTCCGCCGGCCAACGATTCGGATTTGCTGCTGGCCTACGATGAAGCCCTGCCGCTCAATGTCACCAGGACCCCGCGGCATCGGCACGGGCTCGGGGAACCCTTTCTGAAGGTAGGACTCCCTAGACATTTTTGTAAAAATCTCTTTTGAATGTTTTTGTTTGAAGCGGTATCTGGTCTTTACCTGTCATTATTGTGCACTTCGCTGAATGCGGAAGCAACGTGTTCTGGCGCTAGTCGCGTTTTACCTGAATCTGTGTAAATATTTAAGAAATTCCATTGCAATAGAAACAGATTCATGTAATTTGATATTTATGTGATCATGTATGGACTGTCGTATTTAAATTATTTTCAATGTAATTGCTTTTACCTCTCACTATATTGTTTCATCATGAATACCCGTTATGACAACTTACACAATTATGTAAACTCACAGAGATAGGGAAAGAGAGAGAGAGAGAGAGAGAGAGAGAGAGAGAGAGAGAGAGAGAGAGAGAGAGAGGCAGAGAGGGAGTCAGAGAGAGAAAAAAAGAGAGATAGAAAGAAAGGGACGAAAAGAAAGAGAGAGAAACAAAGAGAGAAAGGGATAGGTAGAGACACAGAAAGAGCGAGAAGGAGCAAGAGAGAGATTGCGAGAAATAATTTTTACAGTTCTAGTTAAAGATTTCTTGGAGTTATGCAATATCTCACAGGATATTGAGAAAAATAGCTGTGGTATATCCCATCCCTGTGATATATCCAGTTCCACCCGCTTGCCCTTGCTATAATGCTGATGATTTGCAAGAAGCATGGAAAGGCTAGCTGAGATGCTGAGCTCAAATGATCATCAATCAGTTTGTTTTTAAGCAGATAACACTCGTTTAGAGTTGCTTTATCAAATTATTATTAGCACCATTTTGTTGTATTCTTGCTATTGTTTAGGAACGAAACGAACAGAAACAAATAATAGTGATATTTGTTTTCAGAAAATTTGTTAGTAAAATTCTCTCCGATGTTTTCACACCTTTTTATTCATCTCGCATCTCGCACTGTGTAATACAATATTCTGTTTAAGTGACTTGGGTTCATTTTGAGCATTTTACAAAAGTTGGATTTTACAAAAACAAATTATTGAGACGTGCTAGATTATGCGTTTACTAATTAACAATGTTTTGAACTTTTATATACGCATGCGTTCCGCGGTCTTGAAATGTTTTGAAACATTCAGAACATCTTCCACGAAAGCAGTGTAGAGCTTGAAATATTGCAGATTAAAATCTGTCTTATTTCTGTTTGGTATTCCCGAATTGATAGAGTATATGCAGTTTCTTTTGGCTTTTGTTTTTCCACGTCTATTTTAACAATTGTTTGCCGAATTTCTTGTTAAGCCGCTGACTCAGAAAGTAACGTGATATTACATTACTTGCACGATGGATTCGCAACACTAATGACTTTGCGCTTGTTCTTTCGTCAGCGTGGTTAATCTATTTCTGAACGTAATAAATCCTGGAAGTATTAGTGATTGTCATTCCTGCCGATTTAATAGAATTCGTGGAGTTTAAAACTTTATTAACTCGCAAAATTCGACATTGTTTCGTTTGTCTGCATTCAGTGTGAAATATCAATTCCTTGGAGTACTTTGTCGCATATATAAGGAGCATACATTGCTAATTTTTAAATTTAGTCAGAAAATGCTTGTTTATTGTTCATTAAATATTTTCAGTGTTAACTCCCTAATTAAGCAACAAGATTGAGAAGAAATGAGGAATACGTCATACAACGACATTATTCACACAGGGGTAGTCTAATTAACACACAATGACAATAGTGTGTGTGGAGGTAACTGTAAAAATATGATGTACCGTGTATAATAAGAAGTGGGGAAATTACACCTTTGTGTGTATTATGTTTAGCGTGTATTATTTACAATGACTTTAATAATAAAACCTGAAAGTTTACTTAAATACAAAAAAATTGTGGATATTTTTTCATTAATTGGTGATTTTTAGGTTAGGAATAATTTAATATCATAAGTATTTTTCTATCGCGAAGCAGACATCATTAGAGTTGAAATTTGTTACATCAAAATGCATGCTGTGTACAAATGGAAGACAATGAAGTTAAAATGAAAAGATGCACGGAAGTGAAATACAAATGAAATATTAGATTATCGCACGTGCGGCAACCAAAAGGATTGAACCCCAAGAGTAGCCACTTGGCGGAGAGCCTTGCTCACAGCGCGACGGTGGCGAAGGGAGTAGCGCGTGGTTCGGCTGCAGGATCCGTGTTTGTCGTGTGAAGGTGGAGGAGGAAGGGTCAAGAAAGACAAACTAAAATCTCAGGAGCAAAGGCGAATTTTAGAGGTGTTCGAATTAATCTAATTTTTGCAATGAAGTTGAAAATTTGGGGATTTGTTGATTGAGGCAAATAGCATTCTGATTTTGGAGATTATTATGTTCATACATGTTTTCTTACTTCAATCTGTGCTAGTAATGTTTTCAATTTACAGATTATGGAAATTATTGATTTTGTTTCATGTTCGTTTGTTTTGAGTGAGGTGATAAGCGAGGCGTGATAATGTTATGGTGTTATATCTCCTTGCCGGATCATGTGTTCTTTGTTTTTTGTGTGGATTTCCTGTCAGTTAGTTCTAGAGGTTTAGCTTCGCAGTTGTGACAAGCTGGGTCAGTGCTTTTACGCTAGAAGGCAGGTGGATGCGGTTTTTCCTGTTGGCAAGGGTTTTTATGTTGTGTCTGCCTTTCGAAAAGTAATGAAGGAACTGAATTTTTCAGTTTGGTGGCTATTTTAAGATATAAAGAGTCGTACACATGAAAACGTTCAGTAGGTGACTAATTGTTGTTTTGGATGGGGGTGAGAAAGGTGTGATTGCGGGCGTTGAATGTATTGGTTTTTTGGATATTAATTTCTCTGTGAGACTGTTATCGTATGCGTCCATCAGTCTTATTTGTTTAATTTGTTTTTGTGGTTTTATGATACATATGTATGGAAAAAAACACGATGGACCGTTAAGTAACTGTAAACAATTTTGGGGGTACTTTACGTGAAGCACCTGGCATAGTAAACAAATATTCAAAATATTGGCTACATCGTTTTCTATTCAGTTTTGTTGCTGGATAGTAAGAAGATCGTTCACGAGAATGGTACAGATCTCATGTTCGTTAAAAACTCAGAGTTTTCGAAAATTACGAAAGTTCAGAATATTTTCGGAGTCTTCCTACAGCTAAAATATCAAAGACTGAGATTTTTCCGTTAATGAAATCTGTTCCTGAAAGATAGATTTTGAATTAAGGTTATTTACAATTTTCGAAAATTTGAGTATTTTTCGCATAATTTTGCGTGAATATATGGGCGAGAAAGTACGTGCTGTTTTAGCACCACTAGTTTTGACAGAAAAACGGGACGCTAAAATATCCCTTTTTCGTGACAATAAATTGTCAGCATAATATGCCGTTAACAGTACTAAATCTATCATTTGTTTCGCATTCGTTTATAAAAAAATTAACTACGACAAGATATTGTACGACGTAATAGTGTTTATATACTCGGTTCTGGTTTCTAGAAAGAGAAAATGGAGCTTTGGCGTCATTACAACTTGTATATGCTTAATCGCTAACGATATCATTAGGGAGGAATTAAAAAATCCAATACTTCTGATTTTGGCAGTTTCTGTGTGACTTGGTATGCAATGTTAATTAAGAAATACTGACCTACTACGTATGGACGAAAGTGCAAAATAAACAAATGTGTTTGTTTTATTGCTAATGACCCTTTCTAAGGGATTCATTGGTTGGCGTGAATTAAATGCTACATCATAAAAGTTATACTTATAATTTATTTAAACCTAATTTTGAAATTAAATATTTGTGATAAAATAGTGTTTAATGTCCTCTTTTGCCGTTTTATCGTTGTGACAAAAACTAAATGTCCGGTTTTATGATTTCAAGATATGGTTCCCTTAGGAAGCAGGGATTATCAAACGCCATCAGATTTCTGGGAAATTGGAGAAGGAAATACGTTATTTCATATACATTTATAATTATCTCACCTTGCGAGATACGTGACTATAGATTTTACAGTTCGATGTAGTCTGACAATGCATTCTACCGCAGGAAGATTCTAAAAAGTCATCTTAATCACGCTACTTTTCGCTGGAGATGACCGCTTCGTCAACGAAATGTGCCTGGTCACTCGCCGCGTGGCCCGGAAACCGTTGAAGAGAGAGAATTTGTATATTGGTGTTATTGAAAAATCAATCGTTCCACGAAAAAATGCTCATGGAAGAGACTGATTAATCGAGGATGCCGTTTAAGGAGGTTTCACTGTATATGAATGTTACAACCACCTTCCTTACAATTACTTGGGCTAATTCGATGTTAAAATATAATGGTAATACACAAATGTATACCTTCCAGTTTATTAATTATAATTTTCGATTCTAAAGAAGTTAACTTAATGGATTTACTCTGAGTCTAAACGATGATTCTGCCATTCCATGATAATTCTATCATTCAAAAAATAACTGAATAGTCTAGTACTTTATCATTTTCAATAAAAGCACACTGTAATATATCAGCAATTTATACTTCAGAGCATGCAGAGTAACACTATTTGGAGTGAGGACTTTGGTGACTATGTTTGAATATTGATGTGACTGCAATTTCACAAAAATTAAAGTTATAATTTTCTGAGAGCATTTACTCTCTGATAAGGACTTATGGATTCCTACGCTTAGTTCAGTAAAAAGTGTTTACAGAAGATATCAAAGAAATATATGATGAAAATGATACCACAGTAGATCACATGATCAATTCAACGGAAATATATCGTTGCCGGATATTGCGTGAGTGCAGGGAACGCTCCTAAGAAGATATGACTTTTTTGATAAGATGTGAAATCACCACGCTCGTATTTGTTTTAAGGATTCAATGATAATTGTCTTCGAGTTTTCTCACTTCGTTGGGCTGTTAATGTTCTGGGCTGTTAATGTTCCTCAGTCCCATAATATCAAGGTTGCAGTCAATATCATTGTTTGCAATGCAATTGAGTTATCTGGCAGTTCAAGTAAGCCAACATAGTATACAAATATTGTACTTGTATACCTTGGTGTTTTCTTTGGAACGAATAATATCAATATATTTTAAAACTACTTTGAGAAATTTAGGACTTGTTCTCATTGCAGTTGCTGGCGTGAAAATAGCTTCACCCTGGAGCCCAACTTTCAGCGTGTTTGGCAATTTGTGCTGCGGAGTGACAGAATGATAAAAAAATGTAACAGAAGGTTCAAAAAGGCTATACTATGTATCGTTTCCGAGATGTACACAGCGGAAAAGTCTTGCAGCGTAATATGTTTTGCGTTTTTTTTACAACAAAGGGTTAATTTAATTTCATACTACTTCCGCTAGATTTTGAATGTTCCTTCGCAGTTGTTCCAGTTTCGATCGTTCTTGATGTTCGTGCTTTGCTTTCGTTCAGAGTACTGTTGTGTTTCTTCATGTGTCTTATTATTCAAGCACATGTCGGCGGATAATTGGTAGTAAGACATGAAGCAGGATCTTGGTATAGTCACTCATCCAAAAACCCATTGGAAAACATATGTGCGATTTAATTGTAGTATTTCCGGGCGCGTCAACTGCTAAGGTCATTAGTCCTAGTTTATTACATGTTTTTCCTCGGGATGTGGCGTCGATTTTCATCCGCTAGACGGTGCGATTTGGCGCCTACCTACACCTTGGCTTGTGGTTTCCCCAACCAGGTATCGTCGAGACAATGCCACGGTCGGGGCACGTTCTAAGCTCCCGACCGGTTCCCCAACATGTGTGACAGTGTAGTGTGCGTAAGTGTAAGCGTGGGTAAGAAAGGGGTGAGGATAGGACAAGGAAGAATAAGGAAAGATAGCGCGCGGTTCGTGGCCTGTTTGTTAGGGTTTCCTCCGACATTCGCCTGGTGTTGATTGAAAAACAAAAAGAAAAAAAACTCACACACACACACGGAAAAGTACCATTCAGAGCAGCCGTATGTTAGAATTCTCCTCCTGACAGCGACTGAATTCTACCTAGCGCTCTAGCCACTGTCGAAAATTCTACTACGGTCGAGATCCAATCCTTGGACCTTCCGTTCAGAGGCATTGCAATGATATCAGTTGATAACCTGAGCCACTTAAGCCCGTTAGTGCGACTTTACAACACTACACATTCACATGAAGTATTGTTGGGACGCTTCTTTCTTTTTACTACAAGTTGCTAATAAGTAGTAAGACCTATTGGCTGAACGTGACAACGCAGTACGCCCCTCGGAGTCTAGAGCAGTTAACCTCCCTCTTCATCACCTACGCAGACCACCCGGGAATCAATTAATTGAACAACGTAGCTTGCCAACTTTGCGACGATGTGGGAAAGGCCCAGACAAGACTCGATGGAACCGGATGTTACTGTTGTCTGGGGCCCTGACGGAGCAACTTTTCGGCTCCTGGTGTCCACGGCCCTTATTATGGAGCAGAAGAAGGCCATGTTGTACCACACCTACTGCTGATAAAATTGTGCTGACGTTCGTTCTAGAGTATGAATGCACCTGAAGTATAACAATTGTTCGAAGAATTGATGCCATCAGTATTGAAGCCTCGTGGAATGTTAATTGAGCGCAGATTTCTTACATCTGTTTCATAAGCCAATGAGAACGTACCGAGAGAATTCATAACAGTAGGATACTTGCTCTCACTTTTCGTGCAATTAAATTTTGTAATGTGCAATTTAATATATTAGAACATACATAACTGTTTGCATGGGATGCACACTAAAGTAGTTTCTTGAATCCGAATACTATTGTGACGTAGTGAAATAAGAAATAAATTTCAATAACAAAGAAAAATAATATATTCAAAGATTATGTACAAGTTACAATGAATTGCTAATATTAAAATACTCCGGCAACCTTTTCCTTTCTGAACACTGCTTTACCGCAGAAAACACAAGCCACGCGTGATGCGCGCTATCGGACCTCGGTCCCGTGACAATTACCGTCACATGGCCTGACGCCAAAATTTAACCCGGTCGTGGCGACCGTGTGCCTACAGCACGTGAGATTGTCTGGCCCTTACTCTCCAGACATCTCGCCCACACTCCTACACCCCTTGTACACGCGTACAAGCTTCCCGATGCAAACTGAATGAGAACGCGGGCGCAGATGGCGCCGCGTTAAATAGTTGAGGCTGACACCCCCACCACTGTTCCATAGGTAGGCTCGCCGGCTGGCGCGAGACTCGCAGGTATGGTTAACGCCCCCACACAGGATTCATAGGGTTGGCTGCCTGCTTCCGTAAACGAGGCTCGCCGGCAGCATCCTCAGAGTTTACAGCCTCCGGTATTTTTGACTCTGCGGCACTACCTGAGTCAACCGCCCGAGCGCAAACTCCCGGATGTTCAGGCTCAACCCCTTCCTCCCCCGCAGCGTACTTTCACCAACCTAACGGTTCTGGCCCTCGTGTTAACGACGCCACACTATTATGCATTATTTGTCGAACAGATAGTACCCATTTCGATTAATTTGTAATCATATTAATAGTGTTAATTAAAACAAGCCGCATCAAGAAAGTAAGGTAAATCTCTTAGGTCGTCAACAAAAAATAAACACAATTTCATGGAAAAGCATTGTACCTGTTACAGCTCATGTTGCACTATCGCACCACATAATCATCAGAACTGAGGCACTTGTCATACCATGGGTTCAGCGTTTATATCCCTGTGTTGCAGACTGCCTCCTGATGAATGTATCAGTGTTTGACAGCAACCTTCCACTGTACTGTCACTGTGATAATGCTGATCAGACAGGAATTTTATGTTTAAGAAAACTTGGTAGCCTAAGTGAGATCCGTACTATCCGAGCATTTCGAGAATGTGGCATCGATAAAAGGGATATAAGGGTTCGTTCTAAACAGCACTTCAGTCGTTTCATGTTCAGTTCTTTTGTCACAACTTTCTCGAACATCTACAACCGCAACGAGCCGGGATAAGAGTTATGTAGAACAAAAACATGAGTAATGTGGAGGACAAATAAGGGTAAAAAGAGTATATGTGGTGTGCAAAGCTTTGAATGAAGGTCTAAAAAATGATAAACACATTTTCGATTTCATAATATATTATTGCTTCGGCTAAATTATCTGTTATGCAGTATATGTTCATAACACAGCTCTTTGAACCATCAAGCAGTGAGCGATTCTCAGATGCACAAATGCAAAATAATACAGGTGAGTCTGAGTGAGATACTTCTGAGAGCGATTAAGACGCATGTGTACACAAGTAAATCCAAAGGCTCCTATGATTCTCAACAAAAAAGTCAAATAGGAAGTCTCCATCACCCACCCAACTTCTTCTTCTTCTTCTTCTTCTTCTTCTTCTTCTTCTTCTTATTATTATTATTATTATTATTATTATTATTATTATTATCATTATTATTATTATTACTATTATTATCATACGCCTGAGTTAAGTCTACCTAACCGACCATATCTCCGGAGTAGTTCATGTTCCTTTCCACCACGCTCCTCCCTCTTCTCCTACGCTCGCTAGTTCATCCGAAATCGGCCAGACGCAGCGAGTTAGTTCTGTCATCCTTCCCCCACCGCCGTTCTTCCCGTCGAGAGCATCGCGTTAACGACCGCTATTAGGCCGCCGCTCGCCCGCACGCCACTGAATCAATTGTGCATTCTTCTTCCCCGTGGAGACGGGCGTGTCGAAGAGCCGGGCCACGGCGCGGCGGCGCGAAGCCCGCAAAACCCGCGTTCCCCTCCGCTGGCGGCGGCCGAGGTCTCGGAAATGTACGGAAACGCGGCAGCTTCCCAGCCCACGCGAAAGTGGCGCGTCGACCGGGCGAAAAAAAAATACAACAACCAGAGAAAAGCAATGGAATAAATTAAAATAGAAATAAACGCGCATGAGATTAGGAAAGTGAACAGATTTTAAGTAATGGATACACATGTTATCGTGATATCTTTATATGCACTTATTTATATATTATTTTTAAAATAATCTATAATAGATTATAAAACAATCTACCATTTAAAAAATTATTATAAGTACATATATTTTTTATTCTTCCGACTGTTTTGATTTTCTTACTTATTTATTTTATTAATGATGTATTAATATTAAACTATTAATACACTTACTACTTTTAGATATTTTTCAAATTTACATTCAGATTTTAACATATTCTAATTTTTTTAAATGAGTTATTAACTGAATAAAACCAAGATGTCCACGATAAAAATTTGATAGAAAAAATATGTTTAATAATGGTTTTATTGCGAAACAAATTACTGTTTCTTTTGAGATGCATTTTTATGTTTATGTTCTATTTATATAGTAATGATTTTAGTCGTGAAAGAATGTCTTCACTGTTTTCGACTTGTCAATGTAACAATACGAGTACTAAAAAAATGTCATCAGACCATCATATTTTACTTATCAAAATTCCAAGTTTTTATGAGTATTATAAGTGGTAAATTTCGTCTTTGTGTATGGGGAGAAAACTATTTTACTTGCAAAATAAGGTCAATGACATTGCACACTGTCAGCGCACTCGCATACGCTTTATTGCTTTGTCACTATATTAATTGGAGGTACGAAAATTACGCGTCCAAAGAAATGAGGATGCCACAAGCGATATAAACAAGAGCGTCCAGAATTAAAAAAAAAATAGGGAAAAAAGAGCAACGCGCGATTTTGGCGTTTTCTAAAGCGACAGAGGTCCGCAACGCCGCTAATGTAGTACACGGGAAACCGCCAGGGGATCACCGGGGGAAAACACGCGTTTTTCGTGAACTTCGGAGCGTCACGGTCGAACGGACAGTAGCGGCGCTTTTGTGGACGGCGCGCGGCAACGCGACGCCGCCGACGCCGCCACCGACGCCCCGCAGTGGGCCCGGAAGGCGTTGTGGATGGCCACGATCCTCCTGGAAATTCCTCTGTGGCTCCTTTCACTTCGAGGAAGACGGTCACTGGTATGGGAACGCCTTCCGAAATTCAAGGAGAAAGCTTAAGCGTGTTTTGTGAAGTGGGCAATTGTGGACGTTGGCAATTGTGTGGCTCTTTGTGAAGTGCAGAAGCGAGAGTCGTAACTCTGTGTTGTGAGTCAACGGATCTGCTTGGTTGAATTGTGTTAATCTGTTCGTAATGAAGGCAGGAAGAGCGTCTTTCAGTTGTTATGAGGAAATTGGCGCCTTGTTGTGACAATGTTGAACCGAGAATGGGGGTGAGTTCTCACATTCGTTTAGCTATAATTATTGTGATCTCTACATTGAATAAATTGTTTGCACAGTTATCTCACCCTTAGCTACTCTTGGTAACACGTAAATAACTTCTAGTCATTGGCGAATGACTTCGTGTGCATGCTTTCTTCTAGTGAAATGGAAGGGTTTCAATTTTGCAGTTTTTACCTAAAGAAATTAATAAAATAGCAAATTAAAAGTCTAATAAATTAAGGAAAAGGGAGTAATATTTTCAGTAGAGTAGAGAAATATATATATA